GTGGAGGAAAAATCGAGTGAAAATTAACTGTAGACCCAGAGCACAGTTTATGGTTAATACTCGCTGCTCAGGCAGGAAGTCTTAAACCAATGAAGTTGCCATCGATAAAGTTTGTATACCATTTCGTCGTAGATAAGTGCATCTCGTATATGGTAGAAGGATCAAACTAAACACATACTAAAAACTGGAGTAGCTGTAAAATATCGACATCACACGATAGGTAAATAATGGATTTTAGTACTACAGAAAAATAATGTCAAAAGGTTTAAAAAAATTAAGATTAAAGTTAATTAATCAGCCTTTAAGGTATAAAATTTGGTAGGTGTTATTATTAATAAAATAGTTTGTTTTATTTACCTATGTTGTTTTATTTATTCTTGTGGAATATTACAAATTTGTATTTGTACATAAGTTATATTGATAAATATAATCATAAATGCGGGTAGTTTCATAAAGCTTGAAAGTAAATAATAGTTCTTTTTTATATTTTTTTGGTATGTAGTGTCTTGTTCTTGTTTGTTTTGTATTAACACATACCGTTTTTATTAAATAAAATAACTCGATTACATTTCTTCAGTTTTATACAGTTTTTTTCACAATATTTTGAAGTAATCACCATAGATAAAAGAAACAAGTTTAGATCGGAAAGTGCCCATAAGGACAATGTAAACACTATTTGGCGCTATTCTTGCAACGGTCGCGACCCAAAACTTTTGAAAATTTCGGAGCGGTTCGGCTTTTTCCGGAATTATATCGCCAAATATTGTTTATTCAAATTTATTATTATTTTCGTTTAAGTTTATAAATAAAATACAGTGTGTTGCATACAAGAAACTTTATTTTATATCAGGACGCATATATGAAATACCTATGAAACATTGGAAACCGACGTTATGCCACGATCCACGATGTTTCTTGCAGTTCACAGTTCACAGCACAGCTTTTTAAGTTTTTAATGCCACTTTTTCACAATTATCACCGGTTGGAGTAAATAAAACTTGAATTAAACTCACAAGATAGCAATAATTACTTTGAAAATGGACGCTATAAACACTTTTCGGAATTTCTTTAATGAGAGCGGTTTAGATTTTGAAAGATTATTATGATTTTTGAAGATTCTGACTTTGACAAGAGAAAATTATTTCTGTTTTTGTTTGCCGTTGTTCTTAGCGACCGCTATCGCAGCGCCAGATCGCGTATAACGGTCGCGACCCAAAATAATTTCGCGACCCAAAATTTTTACGGGCTTTCCAATCTAAACTTGTTGCATTTATCTATGGTAATCACTTGTCATCTTGTCAATCAAATTTTAAATATATCCTGCTATGCGTTCCAGTTGTACCAACTTATTTCTTTGTAAAATAAAATAAACTACTTTGAAATTAAAATGACAGACACATCTATCACTGTCAAGGATCTTCTCGTTGGACAGACTATATCTCGCTAACAAGAGAAAAAAAAGTCAGTGGAGTTCATGATTTTTTAAAAAAATATTCCAGTGAAAACCCATATGTACGTCCCTGGTGAATATGTCAACAGTTTTTTAGCTTTAAAATATGTCGCATTTATAGTAACTTTTATCCTCAAAATTTCATTAGAAACGCTAAAAGTACTTTGACGAAAGTTAAAATAAATCGAAGAAATATTAAGACTTTAACACCCTGTAGCTACGAAACAAAGCAGAATCGGACCTATGTTGACATGAAAAATAAATTTTATTTTTTCGTCAAAAATCTCCCCACGAGAGATGGCACATGTTTTTTGAAACACCCTGTATATACTGGCTTGTACTCGATTAGTTTATTACTTAATTTAAATAATTTCTGTTAACTATTTTTCTGACAAGCAGTTAACAAAAGCCACACGACTATAAAACTGACAATAGGGAACAGTACATGAAATTAGAATATTAGAACACTAAAATTTCCGAAGAATCCAAAAATTGACTGGTATACAGGATGCTACAAATTCGAGGTACGAGCATTGGTAACTCGGTAACCGTAATAGATACAAACCATGGTTAAATTGGGGCAAAGTTGCGCTTTGGGATGCTCATCAAGATGCCATCAAAAAAGTTTTAATAATTTCAAGGATTGCTGAGTTTTTTGGAAAAACGAATTTTTTTGAAAATGAATTTTATTTTTTCCTGTCCTTACTTTTAAGAAAATCAACTAACTAATTGCACATTCTCATAGCTAATTTATAAGGGCTATCTGATCAATAGTTTGTCTGTCTGAAATAGTTTCTGAAAAATAAAATTAATTTTCTTAAAAAGGTCCGATTAAATTTATATCTCCGAAACTAAAGTTCCAAGAAAAGTCGTAATATATCTACAAATTCCTCGACAAATTCATTTACCCACTAGTAGATATAAAAAGCATTTTTGGTAAACTCTGTCTCAAATAGTTTCTGAAAAATAAAATTAATTTTTTTAAAAAGGTCCCTTTAAATTTATATCTCCGAAACTAAAGTTCCTAAAATGCAGGTCCGTATTTAAAAAAATTAAGTTGGCCTCTGTATCTCACAAATTATCAGCTAATTTAAAAATCTAAAAATACTCTCAGATACTCCCTAACAAAGTGGCTATGAGAATGTGCCATCAGTTTTTTGATTTTCTCAAAAGTAACGACAGGAGAAAATAAAATTCATTTTCCAAAAAATCAGTTTTTTCCAAAAAACTCAGCAATCCTTGAAATTTTTAAAACTTTTTTAATGGCATCTTGGTGAACATCCCAAAGCGCAACTTTGCCCCAATTTAACCATGTTCGTATCTATTACGGTTACCGGGATACCAATGCTCGTACCTCGAATTTGTAACACCCTGTATAGTGTGTTTATTTAAAATAATAAAGTTGGTACTTGTCACATACGTATTGTTACATGACACACCTTGTAAAAAAAATTTACAGGAAAAAAACCGCAACTTAAAATACCAATCGACGTACCCTAGCCTTTTTTTCAAACATGCTCCTATTTACTTATTACTGAATTTATTCCATTTGTCTGATAGATAGACATAAACTTACATGTAAAAATATGCAGGTAGCTTAATAAATGTGGTGTTTTTTAAGGAACCAACCAAACATCCCAAGTAGCAAATTTTATTTTATAAAGGCTGTATAAACAGCTATGTGATAATTTTTATAGGATACCTCAATTCATATAACGTGCTATATGACCGTAATATGATAGCTTTACAACCAAAAAAGGCCCATTTTTATACAACCGTTTAGTAGTATAGAAGTTCTATAAAAAGGGTATACAACTCTTATGCAACTATTTTACACAGCGTTATATGACTATTATAAAACTAGTTTTATTGTGTATTACGTGGTCACATCTAAGAAACAGAACAATAAAAACATTTGATCATTTAGCGAGGTACAAGAGTATTTTATTTTTTACCGAAGAATATTAGGAGCAAATTATATTTTAAGCGTGTCGTAAAATGAATCTAGGGGATGTGGATTGTTAAAAAGGAGACTTTACTCGACAATGAAAATGGCGGGTAGAGCCAGAAGGTACAACAAATACGTAATATAAAAATTCATTAATAGGGTTTGAAAAGTAGGGACAATTTTTGTTGCGCCGAAAATTTTACTGGTAGATTATAGGTATGTATTTGGCAAAAAATTAAAGCGCTTTAATTTCGATTAAGGTTTACATATAAATTTAAACAATAAAATAAAATAAAATTTTCAAAAATTCTTGTTTTTAATTTAATTAAACACTTTATTACTGTATGTGGGAATCTTATCACAAAATAGTTCTCAAAAATAACATTTTACAATTTATTTTGATGTTTTTAACTTTGCTTCATATAATAGCGGCCATAGGCCATACAAAAATTCTGCCTTAAACATGGCGAATTATAATGCAACCATTTTATTATAAATGAATCCCTTAAATGAGTCTTCGTTGTAAAATAAAACGGTATAGGATAAATATCTATCATTACGCAGAATTTCCAGGCACTATAGAACTATTTTGGACATATTGAGATTTGTGACAAATAGATGTTGCCAAATCTCATTTGATTAGTATTTAAACTAACAAACATGATCAGATTTTCATGGATTCATCACGCAATGCGTTTCATGCGTGCTCGACGAGTGAGCGGCATCCTAAGGACTTGGAAAAACAACAATAAAACAATTCAAACATTACTACAGTAAAACTTTTACATCAACGTGGCAACAATGCTTTGAAGAAGGCAGACAACCCGAGAGATTTTGGCTTTTGAGAACCCAGGGAATTCTCGGGATTATTTGCCGTAATTTCGAGGAGTTTTTTCTTACATGCTCTTTATAACTACCACTGCGTTTCTTAACTTTTTTCCAACTTTGTCCAGAATTCATAATAGCTGTGATTGATTATACTCGTACGTAGATACTCGTACGTAGATATTACTTTTGCAACAACAACAATAACAAAATAAATAACTAGGTATACCATTTAATTTAAAATGAGGTTATATTATACATTACCAGTTTCATAATGCAGATATTACAGCGAATTTATTTTGTTAATAACAATTTTATCATATACGGCTATATCACTGGTGCTGTATACAGCACCGTAGTTTAACGCAATAAAACATTCTATCATATAACGTAATACAACTTTAATAAGACAAGTTTAAGTAACTATTATATGATCTTCTGACTACTGGTTATATGAATATTATAGAACTCTTACATGGTGGGTATAAGAGTCTAATAAAATAATATATTTGTTATCATATAGCATTGTCTTATTAAGTGTTATATCATACTAAAAGAAATTATCGTTTAATGCGTTATAGGATACGTTGTAAAAACTACTAGAAAATAGTTTAATATGACAACTTTTATTAAAAAACAGAATGGTCGAAATCAAACGCTTAATAAAATCAAGCAGTCCTTAAGACAACGCTATTCGACTGTTACAAAATAATTCAATCCTTTTAGAATTTCTTTTTGCTACTTGGGATGCCCTCATTGTGTCTGTGTTTAACTTGCCTGTATCTAAGATTGGTTCTTAAAGCGCTTAAGTCAGAAATTTCGTTTCCTTCCAAGCGTATAGTCTTCGTTTTAACCGGAAAAGTATCGGGCAATGTCCGGAATCCTCTGAAAGAACAGTTCACCTCTATGATCGGTTCTAGGACGTCCGTGTTCATGTATGTTACGCACTTCTCCAAATGACAGGAACAGTTTGGCGTACATGTTTCGGCGGTAATCTGAAAATTAAATTTCATTAATTTAGGATAATTCTAAACGGGCAGTTAAAACGCGGCAGTTTTGTAGGCTGATGCGGAGAAAACATATGCTTTTAAATCTAAAAAGTTTTTGCTGTTTGCTGCTTCCCAATTCGGCAAGGAGACGGTGAGTAGCGGTAGTTACAAAGATTGAACAAATCGTTCGTTTGAACGAGTATTTAAATTTAAAATCAAGGGTGAAAATCGATTCACCACTTAGAATGCGGTTTTTTCAAATGGTACAAACATCAAATCGCAGGAAGACCATGGGCAAAAAAACAAGCGATAAGAAAGTTATTTACACAAAGAAAATGACTGTGTTACATAAAACATGTACCGGGTGGCCAACTAAGAATGGACGCAGAAACTACTTATCGTATAACTTTGGGAAAAAGATTCTAATAAGCAAATCGACCAAGAGAAATCGCTGGAAATTATTTTCAAGTTCGAAAAATGCCCGCTAGAGGGCGTTTCTCTCATAGCCAATCAGAAAACAGGGTTTTTCTCAAAAATATGCAGGTGAAGAAGTATTTTAAATATTACTATTGTAATCATCGAGAAATTTGTATTTTTTTTTATCTAGAGTATTTTGCTCTATCTCATAAAATAAAGTAGTGGGGGAAGGTTAAACTTGCTTTTATTAAAATAAGGATAACTCTGGTTTAGGTTAAGCGATTTAAACAAACTAGGGCTCGTTTAAAAGAGCTTTTCCTCCTTAATGAGTATACATTTCTCTCCAGTATAAATACTATATTTCTCCAGTATAAATTTTGTTTCCACAATTCTTTTCGTGGTAGCTAGAGGGCGCTGTTTGACATCATAACAGATATTGCGCTTTTGCGTAAAAAAATTAAATAGGAGGCTATATTTCTCTTTGCACAGTTAAATAGAGCACAAAATTTGCAAAATATCAGCGCAAACCGCAACTTTCTATCTTCTCTCTAACCGCAGATATTAAGAGAACAAATCATGTTAGGCTGCCGCTTAGGATTATATATATAGTCTAAAAATTATAGTAGTAGGCTAGGAAACAAACAGAGGTAAATCGGTTACGTCAAAATATCAAAACGTTTAAGTTCAGTTTTCATGCATCCGAATTTCGGGCGTTTTAATTATGTTTTTCGTTTTTAAGTGTGGTAGTTTTTAGAACTAATTCTATTTGTTGGCAAAGTAATAATAATAATGGTTATCTATACTAATATATAAAATCGTTAAGTGGCTGACATACTGATTAATCACGATCCTGCTCAAACCACTGAACGTAAGAAGCTCAATTTTGGCATATAGGTGGATTCTAGGGTGTAGAGGTTCGATAAGAAGGAATTTTTCGAAATCCCATTTCCAAGGGGGTGAAACCACCCCTCAAATATTACAATATTTTTTATTTAAAAAACGGTCAAGTTTCCGAAAAAACGCTTAAACACGTATATTTTATTTTGTTTTTTACATATTTTAAGATTTTTTAAAAATGTATACAGGGTGTTTCGAGAAATCTGGTCATTGATTAATCGCGATCCTGCTTAAAGCGCTTGACGTAAAAAGCTGATTTTTGGAAAACAGATTGACTTTAGGGTGTAGAGGTTCGATAAGAAAGGATTTTTCGAAATTCGAATTCTAAGGGGGTGAAACTATCCCTCAAATACTAAAATATTTTTTATTTAAAAACCGGTGCGTTTTTCGGAAAAACTCTTAAACACGTATATTTTATTTTGTTGTTTTATATATTCTAAGATTTTTTATAAATTTATACAGGGTGTTTCATAAAATATGACCACTGAGTAATCACGATTCTGCTTAAACTGCTTGACGTTTAAAGCTGATATTTGGCAAACGGATTGATTGTGGGGTGTAGAGGTTCGATAAGGAGGGGAATTCTCGAATCTCAAATTCCAAGAGGGTGGAAACGCCCCTGAAATATTACAATATTTGTTATTTAAAAAACGGTTAGTCTTTCGGGAAAACGCTTGGACAAGCATTATTTATTAGGTTTTTTACATATTTTGAAATTTTTTAACAAATCATACAGGGTGTTCCAAAAAGTTGGTTAATTTCTTAACCACGATTTTTTCTGCTTAAACTGCTTTACGTAAAAAGCTTATTTTTGACAAACGGAGTTTTCGCAAGTCAAATTCCAACGAGATGAAACTACCCCTCAAATATTACCAAGTTATATAATAATATCACCATATTGTTTTTTCGCATGCTGACATAAATGTGAGAAAACTTTATCCAGTTTGTATGTTAATGGAAATTCTTGCTTTGCTTTATCATCACCATTACAAATGATTAATTCGACGCTAACGAAGTCGCTGGTACACGCTAGTTTTTAAATAAACGCACTGTGTATGATTTAACATTACTCTTATTGTCAAAGGATATCGACTGAAAAAGTAATTTACGAACGTCATTTACACTGGTTTCTTTCCCTTTATAAAATTTTGAAGTTGTATGGCCTGCTTTATTATTTTGGTATGCAATCCGCCTCTGTGCACGACGTAATTTTTATTTACTAATTTTAGCAGAGCTTTATTCATATATCCTAGAGATGGGGAAAATCACTAATTTTGTGCAAAAGTTCCTAGTGTCAATATTATATTAAATTTAATATTTTTAAATTATTATCTATAATACTTTAGGTACGTTTATTATGCTTTCCTTAGGTTGAATTACTTAACAAATTAGGGTTATATTACTAAAAATAACCAATAACTATTTAGAATAGTTGTAGTTTTATTGTAAAGTTCAGATTAGTAAATCTGTTATCAATAATTGTAAAAATTGTCCATTATTGTTTCCAATATTGTCGATCATGTTAGAAAAATACATAAAAAGTAAATTACTATGTATGTCCTATTTTATTAAATAGTGTATAATCGAAAAAACGGAAGACAAAGACGGTTGGGAATGACAACCGATAATAATTTTGGCGAAGTCAAGCCTTAGACGTGATTTACTTGGTCTGTCATCTTCTCTATTTTTTAATAACGCCATACTCAGCCTTACGATGCAATGGTTGTAGGTTGAGTAAAAATTATTTTTAAATGGTGTAAATGGTTAAAATTCGACAAAAAATAATGTTTTGGAAATATATTTGTTTATACTTTTTTAATATTTCTATAATTAGATTTAACTTTTGACAAGTTTTATGTCAATTTATGGTAAATGATATCAAGAGAGTGACCTCGCCAAAATTATTATCGATTGACATTGTATACTCGGTATACCCTGTATGCTCGGTTAAGCTAACAGCTATGCTAAACTCCGCCGAGTTGAAAATAAAAACATTTTATTATTATCAATAGCGTGTACCCGCGACTTCGTTCGCGTCGAATTAATCATTTGAAATGGTGCAGCAAAGCAAGAATTTCCATTAACATACAAACTGGATAAAATTTTCTCACATTTATGTCAGCATGAGAAAAAAAACAATATGGCGATATTATTATAACTTGGTAATATTTGAGGGGTAGTTTCATCTCGTTGGAATTTGACTTTCGAAAAATCCGTTTGCCAAAAATAGGCTTTTTACGTCAAGCAGTTTAAGCAGAATCGTGGTAATCGTGTATGATTTTTTAAAAAATTTCCAAATATGTAAAAAACAAAATAAATTATGCATGTCCAAGCGTTTTCCCGAAAGACTAACCGTTTTTTAAATAACAAATATTGTAATATTTCAGGGGCGTTTTCACCCTCTTGGAATTTGAGATTCGAGAAACCCCTCCTTATCGAACCTCTACACCCCACAGTCAATCCCTTTGCCAAAAATCAGCTTTAAACGTCAAGCAGTTTAAGCAGAATCGTGATTACTCAATGGTCATATTTTATGAAACACCCTGTATACATTTTTCAAAAATCTTAAACTATGTAAAACAACAAAATGAAATAGACGTGTTTAAGAGTTTTTTCGAAAAACTCACCGGTTTTTAAATAAAAAAATATTCTAATATTTGAGGGGTGGTTTCACCCCCTTAGAACTGGAATTTCAAAAAATCCCTCCTTATCGAACCTCTACACCCTAGAATCAACCTGTATGCCAAAATTGAGCGTCCGACGTTGAGTGGTTTGAGCAGGATCGCGTGATTAATAAGTGAGTCAGTCACTTAAGGATCTTATATATTAGTATAGATTCCCAAGCCATCTATAACGCCGTTTTTTTTTCGATCATACGGTATTTGTAATAAAAGATAGCTCGGACTAAATATTTCATCAATAACTTTGTGTATTAATTAACTTCTTAAGTAATTCTTTGAATATGTCGTTCAATTAGACCACCCCTTCCTCTTGAACAATTTCACATTTCTGAATATAAAGTTAAATTTTAAATATACATCAAAGTATTAGATTTTCAAAGGATTATATCAAAGTTGCCTAGTAGCGCAAACTTTTTTCAAGTTTGTTCTGAAAGAGAGGTACACGAATTTATAGGGGTATAATATATGAAAAAGGTAGTGCAAAAAAGTTAGATTTTCTATTAAAAATTAATATAATATAATATCTTGTAACGAAAATTCGAGCAAAAATTAGATCAGAAATAGACTTAATTTAAATGACAAAGAAAGTTTAACCGAATACTTAGTTTTAATTATCTGCTGATGATGCTAACTTGGTTATAGCAAAACGCCCGTCCAGTGTAACATTAAAGTGTTTTGGTGTATTGTGGTGAATTAGTGTTTTATTTTGTTATAAATAAGTGGATAGAGAAATAAACTGCAAATAACGAAATAGCCAACAACAATAGACTAAACTAGCAATTATATAATTATTGAAGACTCATTAGATATAAAGGCTTAGTTGCTTTAATTGTTATTTTTTAAGTTTTTCAGATTTACAATATTAAAAAGTAAAGAGGGGAAGAAATTATTATAATACTATTATTTATAACATATTATATAAAAATTTATATTTATTATATTATAATATACTAGCGTGTACCAGCGACTTCGTTCGCGGCGAATTAATCATTTGTAATGGTGATGATAAAGTAAAGCAAGAATTTCCATTAACATACAAACTGGATAAAATCTCTCACATTTATGTCAGCATGAGAAAAAACAATATGGCGATATTATTATACAGGGTACCTACGGCAATAGTGCGTCGGTCATCTGTAGCTCCTAGAATAAAAAATTTGAGAATTTTGTTTAAGTATGTACCTAAAGTATGTACCAGTATGTATTTTCGGAAAATATTTTAACTTCTATAGGGTGGCTCAAAAAAGTGTGAGTGGATCTGGATGATTTTTTTTAAATGGAACACCCTGTATATTATTGCATTTTTGGTTTTCATTTAAAAAAAATCATCCAGATCCACTCACACTTTTTTGAGCCACCCTATAGAAGTTAAAATATTTTTCTGAAATACATCCTAGTACATACTTTAGGTATGCACTTAAACAAAATTCCCAAGTTTTTTATTCTAGGAGCTACAGATGCCACACGCACTATTGCCGGACCCTGTATAACTTGGTAATATTTCAGGGGTAGTTTCATCTCGTTGGAATTTGACTTTTGAAAAATCCGTCTGCCAAAAATAAGCTTTTTACGTCAAGCAGTTTAAGCAGAATCGTGGTTAAGAAATTACCCAACTTTTTCGAACACCCTGTATCATTTTTAAAAAAAAATTCAAAATATGTAAAAAAAGCAAATAAATTATGCTTGTACAAGCGTTTTCCCGAAAGACTAACCGTTTTTTAAATAATAAATATTGTAATATTTGTGGGGCGTTTTCACCTTTTTGGAATTTGAGATTCGAGAAACCCCTCCTTATCGAACCTCTACACCCCACAGTCAATCCGTTTACCAAAAATCAGCTTTAAACGTCAAGCAGTTTAAGCAGAATCGTGATTACTCAGTGGTCATATTTTATGGAACACCATGTATACATTTTTAAAAAATCTTAAAATACGTAAAACAACAGAATAAAATATACGTGTTTAAGAGTTTTTCCGAAAAACTCACTGGTTTTTAAATAAAAAATATTCTAATATTTGTGGGGTGGTTTTACCCCCTTAGAATTCGAGTTTCGAAAAATCCCTTCTTATCGAACCTGTACACCCTAAAGTCAATCCGTTTTCCAAAAATCAGCTTTGTACGTCAAGCGCTTTAAGCAGGATCGTGATTAATCAATGACCAGATTTTTCGAAACACCCTGTATACATTTTTAAAAAATCTTAAAATATGTAAAAAAACAAAATAAAATATACGCGTTTAAGCGTTTTTTCGAAAACCGTTTTTTAAATAAAAAATGTTGTATTATTTGAGGGGCGGTTTCACCCTCTTGGAACTGGAATTTCGAAAAATCCCTTCTCATCGAACCTCTACACCCTAGAATCAACCTGTATGCCAAAATTGAACTTCTTACGTTGAGTGGTTTGAGCAGAATCGTGATTAATCAGTGTGTCAGTCACTTAAGGATTTTATATATATTAGTATAGATTATATAAAAAATATGTTTTTATTTATTAATATCTCTGAAATTATCAACATATATTTAATAATATCTTAGGATTATGTAAAGTGATCAGGAAAGGAAGATAAAAAAGCAATAATATACAGGGTATACCATTTAAAAAATCATCCCAATCCACTCACACATTTTGGGCCACCCTGTAGAAGCAAACGCATTTTTCTGAAGTACACCGAATACATAGCTTAGGTTTTAACTAATACAAAATGTCTAAGTTGTTTATTATAGGAGCTACAGATGCCCGAAGCACTGTTTTACCTGACCCTGTATATACATATGTTGACTGTTTATAAATAAAATCAATGATTAACATAAACCTGCTATTTTAAGCTGTTATTTATAACAGTCTATTATATTAATAAAAAAACAGCTTTTGAAAAATAAGTTTTGAAATGTAACTTTCGAAAAAGAAAACTAAAGGGGTAAAAGAAAACAAATAATATAATCCATAGAATAGAGCTAAATTGAAATAACATACATATCTAGCAGTAACAAAAATGTTTTCTATCTTACCTTTCTGAATTGGGCGATAGCCAAGAGTGGTTTGTTATTATGTGGCATTCGAAAACATTTTAACTCCGGCAAATCTCGGAACACTGATAGATCTAAATCCAATATCCATTCTAAGCTTTTCGAACAATTCCATTTATTACCTAAAATGTAAATATCTGATACTCATAGCTGAATATACATGTACAGGGTGTCCCACTAAGAATAGCTCTCGGCTGTATCTCGGAAAGTCGTAGAGCTTGCGGAAAAAACATTTATAACTAAAGGGGCTATGAGAAATTGCTGGAAATTATTTTCAAGTTTGTAAAACGGCCGCTAGAGGGCACAACTGCTATGGAAAATAAGAAAATAGAATATTTACAGAATTTTGCCTATATAATGGGTACTATAAATAATAGCTTCATAATCTTCAGTAAATTTTGGATTTTTTTGGTTAGAACCATTTTCCCCTATCTGCTAAAATAAAGTGGTGGGGGAAGGTTAGATCTATCTTTATATAAATGTTAATAACTCCGGACTGGATGATCAGAATCCAACAAACGAGGGCTCGTTTAAAAGAGTGTTTCTTACTCTATATTATTATTTCTGACCACTACATTCCTCTTGTAGGAATAAAGACAGAGAGAGAGAGAGAGACTCTATATTATACCATAAAAATAGTAATAATAAGGTTTTGAACGTAGACGTTAGGTGGCACTTTCTTACAATTTAACAAACATAACGCGTTTTTTCAAAAAAGTTAAATACGATAGTATCAACATTTTGATAGTCTTAGCAGCGTTTTTTATCTTTCAATTGCTTTTTCAAAATGCCTTTATTATTTGAAGTAGTTGAAGTTGTTGACATTTTGAAAAAGCAATCAAAAGATAAAAGACTATCAAAATGTTGATCTAATAACAATTTGACGTTTATACTATTACGTCAAAAGCAATTTTTTTCCAAATTCCACCATGACTTCACTGCATCATCGTTTCTTGTTCACTGTTATTAATATCTTAATTATTAGATATTAATACATCTTGTATTATGGTATTCTGGTATTTCGTCGATTTTAAAATAAACTAACTGTTTCTATCTTATTTTTTTGTTAGAATGGGCATAATCAAGAGAGCTACTGATACCACCTGATACCGTGTTGTAAAAATAAGGTAATTATAAGGGCTTATTTTTTGGTATTTATTATAATTTTGCTAATATTTTCGGTTTGAAAGAAGACATTAAGATGCGGTTTTCGCTGACTTTTTAAGTTTTTACTACTCTTTATTATTAGCTAAAATTACATATACTATTGTATTTTTTTTTGAAAAAAACGCGCTATGTTTGTTAAATTGTAAGAAAGCGCCCCCTAGTGTCTACATTCAAAACCTTAATATTATTATTTTTATCGTATAATATAGAGTAAGAAACGCTCTTTTAAATGAGTCCTCGTTTGTTGGATTCTGATCATCGAGTCCGGAGTTATTAACATTTAAATAAAGATAGATCTAACCTCCCCCTACCACTTTATTTTAGCAGATAGGGGAAAATGATTCTAACAAAAAAATCCAAAATTTACTGAAAATTGTGAAGCTATTATTTATAGTACCCATTATCTTGGCAAAATTCTGTAAAAATTCTATTTTCTTATTTTCCGTAGGCCCTACGGCTAATACTTTCCGAGCTAGAGCCGAGAGCTATTCTTAGTGGGACACCCTGTACTTAACATACTCAAGGAACGTTATAATAACAAAATAAATTGAAACAAAATAAATTGGAACAATGTCGAAATTTCATTGAAAACTAACAAATAAGCTAAGACGAGAAAAATAAAATCATTTTGAAATTCAGTTTTGAAATCAATATAACATAGATAAAGCATATTATCACAGAATATCTAGCTATTTCCCCCCATTTGCAAGATAATTAATATACACGGTGGTCCGAATTGTATTCCGGATTAGTTTCGGGTGAACCAGTTTTCGATACAGGGTGTAGAAGTTTCATTTTTATTTTGATTTCTTCCAAATCATTTCTAAAGTAACGTCAATATTTGGATAAAAATTGGTGTCTGGGAGTTTTTTGACATGAGAAAATTGTTCTTGATATCAATATGACTCCTACTTGTAGAGAGAGCCTCCTACATTTTTTTTACTGGTTTGAAGAGTAATAACTTTTCGTCCATACTTGTATAAAACTACAGAGTAAAAAAAGATACATTTACGACGTTTTTTGCGCTAAAAATGTCTCTTGGTAAAAAATCGCTACGAGTAATGGTTCTGAAGATATTTGGAATCGAAATTATGAATACCATCAGGCATCATTGACATAAATTAAACATGTTGACTAAATAGTTATTAGACTGAAATCATAAATTTTAAATGTTTTTGTGCCAAAATTCAACAGAAACTGTTTTATCATTTTTTCGCAGAAACATTTATGATTAATATAAAAAAATAAAAATTTCCCAAATTTATTTTATTTCAGTCAAATAACTATCTATTCAACGTTTTTATTTTTTGTCAATAATGGCATGTATTGACTATTTCCATTTTAAATATTTTGAGAACGGTTGAGAAGTATCTTCAAGAGGCATTTTTTACGTAAAAAGTCACGGAAATGTATATTTTTTCACTCTTTTTTTAAACTCATATTTTTTTCACTCAGTAGTTCTGTTCTGTATAAACAGGTGCCCGGTGGCAATGGCGTAGAGGTACAGACTCTCGTCTACCAATCTCAAGGTAGTGGGTTCGAATCCCACACACGGCATTTTATCAGCCGACTATTTTTATTAAAATAAAAATAGTTTGGGTACATGTTGGGTACTTAGGTCGACTCAGCCTTAAATGAGTACTTGGGATTCACAATCCTGAGGTAATAATAGGCGCTTGAAGCGTAGTGCTTGCCACATTACCGTCCTTGTATACCGAACGGCTCTAGTATGGCAAGCTGTACTGACTGAGTTGTACTGATAGATATACTCCCAAGGCGTTAAACGTTATATTAGTTCTGTATAAAACTGTACGAACCAAAAATTATTACTCTTTAAAACAGTTAAACACATGCGTTCGCGCCCCCTACAAATAGGAGTCTTATTGACATCAAAATCAAATTTCTCATGTCAAAAAACTCCCAAACACCAATTTTCATCCAAATATTGACGTTACTTCAGAAATTATTTGGAAAAAATTGAAATAAAAATGAAACTTCTACACGCTGTATCTCCGAAACTAAGCATTTTAGGATATACATTTATACGAACTTTTTTACTTATTTTTTATCTGCAGGAATATGCTGTCGAAGTTTCCGGAATACAGTTCGGACCACCCTGTATATTAAACAGCTACGGTTAAATCTCTTCTTTTGTAGGGATTGTGTTTGGTATTATATTTTAATTAAGCATTAACACACATAAATACACAAAATGCACGGAATTATATCAAAACAACCAATAAACGATAATTTAATAACATATACTTATTTGATTTCAATTATCACCCAGGATAATTAAATTCTAATGTTACCAATAATTCCGTAAGTTAACAATTTAATATAATAATAATACCTAAAATTTAATATAATCTAACTTTGTCTTGATTAAATTTTATTATTTTCATAATAGTTTAATAATATAATTTTTATATTTTAAATATTAGCAAGTACCGTATGATCGAAAAAAAGACGACGTCCAGTTGGCTGGGAAATGACGATCGATGAGATTTACATATAATTTTACATATAAAATGACAGCGATCTTTATTTCATAGCTATCGCTGACGCCGTTTTGTTTCGATCATACGGTATTAGGTATTTATATTCTTTTAAGAAAAAAAAATATTTTTTCGACATTTAAGACATAATTTTATTTATATACAGGGTTATTCACCACATACGTCACGGAGTATTGTAGCTAAATGATTAGATTTTTGCAATTGTAAGTTTTGGATTCGTTGAAGGACTATTAGAGCTACAATTTAAAAATATTTTTACAAAATATAGAGTGTCCCAAATAAACAAAAATATCAACGTGGTATTTTTTTAAGTGGAACACCCTGTATATTATTACATTTTTAGTTTCTAGGATTATAATAAAGGTAAATTTGATAAAGATTTATGTACCGCATTTTAATCTTACCGTTTTTGAAATATTTACGTTTTTGTCAAAAATACAAAACAGCACCAATTTTAATGCTTCAGTTCTCCAGGCGCATTTAAGTTTTTAAAACTAAATATTGTACTTTCACGTAAATTTTTCGTCGATCCTAGAGTAGTTTAAATACTATTAGAATCATATTAACTGGTCCGCTTTAACAAATATTTAAACAGATTTTTTAATGAAATAAGCGAATTATATCGACAATATTAGTATCTGTTACTCTTTGAAAATTTGTTACATCTTTAAAAATAATCTAAAATGTCAATATGTTATAGTAAAATATCATGGGTAAATTGATAAATGAGGTCTAAATTATAAGAAAATGCATTTTCTACAAAAACTTGAAGAGATAGGTAAAAAATGGTATAATACAATTTGATAGACAATTAAATTGTGCATCTAATTCTCCTAAAATAGCAAAATAAAACACTAAATCACCACAATACACCAAAACACTTTTACTTTTACACTGGACGCGCGTTTCGCTAACCATGTTAGCATCATCAGCAGATGATTATAAACTGCTAACATGGTTAGCGAAACGCGCGTCCGGTCTAGAAGTAAAAGTGTTTTGGTGTATTGTGGTGATTTAGTGTTTTATTTTGCTGTGAAACACCAAAGGTTCCAACCCTCAACTGTAATCTCCTAAAATATACAGGGTGTCCCATTTAAATTAAACAAGTTATTGCAGTTTAAAGCCAGTGATTATTTAAAATAAATTTTTAGGCACTCTGTATAAGGTAGTATTGTGTTTATTATTACAACACAATATCTGATCAATAAATAATAAACTACAGTAAATATTTAGCATTAAAAACTTCCATACCCTTGGAGAAATGAAGCCTTAAAATGTTTACTACAATTTCACAAACTTAAGTATATTTCAAAAACGGCAAGGCTTAAGTGTGATAAACCTTAATCAAATTTACCTTTATTTCAATCGTAGAATCTAAAATAAAATAATATACAGAGTGTTCAATTTAAAAAATACAACTATAACATTTTTTACTTATTTGGGACACTCTGTATTTTGTAAAAAATATGTTTAAATTGTAACTCTAATAGTCATTCAACGAACTCAAAACTTACAATTTGTAAAAAATCTAGTCGTTTAACTACAATACTCCGTGTCGTATGTGGTGAATAACCCTGTATAATCAATAAAATGGGGGGGCATGTATTATGAATCTACTAAAAAAAACTATTATATTTGGGAAAAATACGAAAAAAAATGTATAGTCTATCCAACGAAAAGATCCATGATAATTATCCATGACATTTGTGTCTGTCATTTTAATTCCCAGGTTAATTATTTTTTTCTGTCATTTTCTGTACGTCATCTGTCGAAATCTTTCCTGTCTCGTTGGCTATACTTTATATAATTTTGTAATGTGGAAAACAGGTAGTTTTACAATAAAATAAGATCAAAACTAGTTAACTATTTTCTCATTTTTTTTCTATATTCCAAAAAATAGTTTTATTCAATATAAGCAAGTTTCTTCAGTCCAATATAATTTAATAATTTACCTTTTAAGTATACCTCCTTTAAACTGCTGTAATTGAATTTTGGAAAATCGGCAATATAATTGTTTGAAATATCCAGAACTTCTAGACCGATAAAGTGATTGGTAATGTTTTCCAAGAAGACACTGGTGATTTGTAAATTATTTAACTTCAAAATCTAAAAATAAATCAAAATATACAGTGTGAGTCTTAAATAAGTGCAAATATTTTCAGGTCTGGTAGATCTCGATAAAAGAAACATACAGGGTGGCCCATCGAAAACGTTCCGCAAGGCATAACGGCCAGGGTAATTTTTTTTTTAGAAAATCCAAAAACACGTCAATTTTGTTTGTGAGGGGGACAACTTTTGCCCCAAAAATGATTGCAAAATCTTCAACCCTCTAAGCGGGGGTGTCATCCCCCAATTTTTTTCAAATGGGAAGGGGGGTCAAGTGGTACCGCAGTGAAAAGGGCTTTCTATTCTCTATACACTCCCGCTTCGTTTTTGAAAATCGGTCGAGTCATTGAGAAAATATGAAGGATTGAAATTTGAAAAGTTTATTTAAACATTTACCATAGTAAATGATAAGGATAAATTCTTCGACCAATTTACTGTTTTTTCTTATTATTTCTAGATATTTAGGCATTTTTTCACTTACCACAAGGTTGAACGATCAGGTGCGGTAGTGTGACTTATGCGTTGAAGTTCTTCTCAATATCGTTAAACTTTTTAACAATTATGGTGTACTCACTTGCACAAAAAGTGGAAATAATCCAACTTTATTTTAAAAATAATGAATGTGGCAAGTGGGTTGCGCAGATATTCAATGAACGCCATCCTGACAAACACCGTTATGGCAAAATTGTTCACGAGTTAGTAGAAAAATTTCGCAAAACTGGTTCCGTTATGAATAAAAAGAGGCAGAAGGAAAATTCTGTAGTAAATGAAGCTATGGAGATATTCGTATTGGGCCAAGTTGTCATGGATACTACGCTGAGTACAAGAAAATTAGCCAATGAGACCGGCCTGAATCGTATAAGTGTCCAAAGGATATTAAAAAACACAAGTTCCACCTGTACAAAATTCAGTTGGTACAAGAACTCAACGAAGACGATTTTGATCGTCGCTTGCAATATTGTGAAACTATGAGTGAACGAGTGGCGAATGATAATAATTTCCTATTTAATGTGTGTTTTTTCGGATGCGTGTACTTTCTTTTGGAACGGTGTCGTTAATCGGCACAACTGTCGGTACTGGGCTGAGGGTTGCCCAGGTACTGCAACCCAGAGGGTTTTCGGTACTGCCCAGGGTTTTTCACGAGGTGCACACACAAAACCCTCAGAAATTGAACGTGTGGGCTGGTATTTTTGGAAATTCTATTATAGGTCAGTTTAACGATATTGAGAAGAACTTCAACGCATACGTCACAGAACAGCTATCTAGCAACTACCGCACCTGATCGTTCAGCCTTGTGGCAAGTGAAAAAAAATGCGTAAACATCTAGAAATAATTAGAAAAAGCCCTCAAATTGGTCGAAGGAATTTATCCTTATCATTTACTCTGATAAATGTTTAAATAAACTTTTCAAATTTCAATCCTTCATATTTTCTCAGTGACTCGACCGATTTTCAAAAGCGAAGCGGGGAAATATAGAGAATAGAAAGCTCTTTTCATTGCGGTGCCACTTGACCCCCCTTACTATTTGAAAAAAGTTGGGAGATGGCTCCCCCGCTTAGAGGGTTGAAGATTTTGCAATCATTTTTGGGGCAAAAGTTGTCCCCCTCACAAACAAAATTGACGTGTTTTTGGATTTTTTGAAACAAAAATACCCTGGCCGTTATGCCTTGCGGAACGTTTTCGATGGGCCACCCTGTATTTTCTCTTTACCGTTTTTCAAATGCCCAAAATAACCGAGATATTTTACATTATTAATTAAAAAAAATTATATCTGGCTTAAATATTGAGAACCACTGGATCTTTTCTAGGTTTTCTTGCCATATTATGAAGATATTATGTGTTTTAACTAAAAATTAAAAAAAAATTCTAAAATATTTTTCAAAAAATTCCAAATTTTGGAAAAAAAAATTTGCAAAAAAACCTCATAAACGTGTTTCTGGGGTCGAAATATACTACCCCAAAAAATATTGCACTTATTTGAGACTTATATATTTGCACTTATTTAAGTCTCACCCTGTATAATACAAATAATAATAATCATAATGTCATTTTAACATAACGTCGACAGTTTCTTGTAGACGTATCTGTTTTAAAAAAGTAAAGTGTTCTCGAATAGTTGAATTTAAATATTTTAAATAGTTTTTTTCTTTATTCTTTGTATTTTTTTTGCTTCCGACGACGGAAAGAGATAAACTTTCCGAAACGTTAAGCATTTTTATCTTTGTTAGACAAATTTGTATAACTGTAAACATAACTTCTGACAAGTAGTGTCCGTTTGGGTTTAACGCCCCAGAAGTGTTTACAAAAAATAACTATTTTATTTTGTAGATTTTCTTGCAGTGCAGTGGAGAAATGCCCATATAGGATTTTTTTGGAGAGATGAATCGGCCACATAGGTATAGACATTTTTTATAATACAAATAGTTGAAAAACAATAAAAAAAAATGAAATATAGTTTCAATTTACGGACAACTAGCTTGGGCAGAATTTTAACATTTTCTAACTTCTTACATTTTTTAATTTAAGTTGGACCACAACAGAAAAGTAAATACCTAAATGAATCGCAACACACTAAAATACTTATTAAATAGCTGACGTTTTACCTACTTATATTTTTAAGGGTAGTACATACACTTCAACCCCAAAAAAACGTCAATGAGATTTTTTCCCGAAAAAAGAAATCTGAAAATGTAAACTTAAAAAAAATGAAAATTTGTTTAATATTTAGTTAAAAATCATATTATCTCGATAATAGAACAAGATAGTAGTAGATTAAATTTGAAGGTCCAGGGTTAAAACATATGGTAAGTGCCATTTCACTAATTTTACAAGAGAGCACGGCTGGTAGTTATCAGGTTCTTCCCGTACTAGGCATATATCATAGGATTTAACAACTTATTGTCCCGCAAAGTTTATACATTTTGTAAAAACTTATTCTTAATCTAAGGTAGAAACCAGTTAGACCTACTATAATGTTATAAAATCCTAAAATTAAGAAATTGGCGCAACTTTTCCCCTGAACCCTTCGTTACAAGAAAGAAACTCTAAAAAAGATTCAGTGATTCTCAAAATTTAAGTATTTTTTTTAATTCTAGATGTAAAATAACTCAGTTGAAATGGTAAAGAGAAAATAAATGCATGCTTGTTTTATAGAGATTTGCCAGCCCCGAAAATATTTGCTCTTATTTAAAACTCACCCTGTATATAACTTTAGTTAAAAATACTTCGATTTGATACTAACTTTTTTTAAATAAAAATGCGTTATTTATTTTTTCATTTTGTAAATTTGTAATTAATAGTAGTTTTAAACTCTAGTTTAACAGGATAAACTATCTGTTACTTTAATATTAAGTTTTTCTTACCTTTATACCAAGTTTTTCTCGGGGAAACGCTATCCTTCTCAGTTTAGTACGGTTGTTTCCGATAACCGTTAAACTACTTAAATTCTGGAATGATCTGTGCCAGTTCTTCAAGTCCAGATTGTCGATTCTACTATCTGTTATTTTTAAAACATCGATATTTGTATATGCTTTTGTAGGAAATTCGTTTTTACATAGGAGGTGATTGTTGTTTTGAACGCAGTTTTCCAAATGTTCCTCTCTTATATATGACGTTCCAATAATAGGTATTCTGAAACAAAATTGAAATAATGGAAATTAAAATAGATCACACTATCTAGGTATCAATCCGCAACGAAGAAAGAAAGATGTTAAGATTCTACAAATTAATCATCAAACTTGCAAAAAATGGGAAGATAAAAAGCTGAAATACTACTGAAAGGTAAAGTTTTACTTATTGGAAGTAGATAAGGGTAATAATAATAATAGAGCTCCCGTATATAGCGTTTAACGCATTGGGTGTAGCAAGGTATAGCTTGCTATACTAGAGCCGTTCGGTATACAAGGAAGGTAATGTGGCTAGCACTACGCTTCAACCGCCTATTATTACCTCAGGATTGGGAATCCCAAGTACTCATTTAAGGCTGAGTCGACCTAGGTACCCAAACTATTTTTATTTTTTTAATAAAAATAGTCGGCTGATGAAATGCCGGGTGTGGGAATCGAACCCACACCTTGAGATTGGTAGACGATAGACTGTACCTCTACGCCACCGGGCACCTTGCTAGATAAGGCTACTTCTCAATATACAATAGTACTGTTTGACCAGCGGATCTGAAGCTACGGAAGGAATGCGAGAAAAAAAAATCGACATTGCCACGTTTATCTATAAAATTGCAAAATTGCCAGACATGAACTATAAATTTAATATATTTTTATTATATATAATGTGTTTAGCATATATTCTGACGTATATTACTAAGGAATTTTAACGATGAAATTACGTTTCTACAAGGGGAGACACATGAGAAACAAAATATGTTAAAGTGAACCTAAGTGTTCATCTAGTTCTAACATATACATATGAGATACACACGCAGGTTTATATTGATAGAACTGTGTGATACAGTGTTTACTAGTTGTATACCGATTATGATATACTCAAGATTCTAAAGAGTTTTTTGTAACGGAACTAATAATTATTAAAATGATGAAATCTGACGTCGGTATATGAGACATACAATGTATAAGTCATATGTATGTGTGATACTTCGTATCATAGTTGTGCCTATAGTACACACCTTGTAAAAAATGTGACGTATACACATAATATAAATATCTATATAGACACTTTGTAATAGTGTACTGTTGTGTCTACATTCTAGCATGAAATGAAGGTGTGCGCATGCGCGATAGCGTAGATACATATATAGGATAGCATAGATCCTTTCTCCTTTCTAGGAGTGGTATGTGTTAGCAGCCATTATTGTTTTATCATTCGGAAGCTCTATATAAATGTTCTGTTTGTGTATAGTTTAAAAGAGATTTTAAGGTAAGCACAAGTTTTTAATTACCTTGTTACACCGTCCTAAGAGTATTATTAATACTATAGCAACGACTCTTCCCTTACTCGATACCTAATTTACGAAATTTTGACTTCAATGAATGAAAACTCCAAATATTCTCGTATAATGACAAAGAGGTTGGCTCTGCAATATATTTTTTTTAATTTGGAAATAATAAAAATCTAAATGGACCAGAGAAAGAAAGATTTAAACACTTCAAAGAACTTCTTACACTGATATTCGGTAAGTTATTGATGGATCAATATACAGATATGTTTAATATTCAATAATCAGTTTCATATAAAATTTAAGGGTGAGATTGTTAATCTGGAAATAAAATACAACAAAGTCCAACAGAGTGCTCGTTGAATGAGTATGCTAACAAACCAACTGCTTGGAGGGAAAAGAGGAGAAAAAAATGACTAAACGAGGTCCACCAAATCGTGGCGATATACCAGTGTTTACTATTTTAGTATGTTGTTATACTAGGTACTTATATTTTTAATACATTTTGATACAAATTCTGTTCTTTTACAGTGTTTTCTTACTTCTGGTTTCTGCAGTGTAAATAATTATTATTATTGTGTTATTTGCGCTATTGCGTTTCATGATATAAAGAAATATAAGAATTTTATTTTTTAACCACTTAATCCATTTTATGGAAGAAAAATGGTACATTTAATACAAAACAAAATGGAACAATTTTAAGGATACTTCTCTTGAACTTACGATCGAGATACTTTTGGAAAATACAAAGTTTTGCCTTCCTAATTTTCGTTCTAAAAAGATATAATCGGTATCATTGAATAAATATTTCTTAAAAAAAAACGAAAAGTTAGGCATCAAAACTTGTATTATTTCCTAAATTCGATCATAAGAAGTAGTTTTATCTAGCACAAGTTTACTAGCACACAGAGTTTAAACGTAAAAAACAAGCACTGTGTATCCTACGGCACACTATGTATCCCTTACTTTATGTATACGTAAATGCTGTACTGTGGCTACATTGCAGGGCGGACGTTTAACCTTTGTGCATACGTGTTGAAAAAAATATGGTAATTAGTCTAAATTTATTATTTATGTGATTCTCCTCTTTCTCGTATAATTTGCCCCTTGTTTCTCATACGGAAATAGTTAGATTAAAATAGCCAAACTGTACCTAACAACCCATGCCTTGACATATTTTCTTTTAAAATAATATCGCTTTCTTTATCCGCCGGTCCATACTCGACCTTGCCCTAGACGCCGGCTCTATCAACTTAAGTACGTGTTGACAGGCAGGTTATTGAACCCATGTTGCTTCTAGCATGTCGTTTTTTCAAAGATGGGTCCCATATAAACGCGGCCAGAAGTATTTTCAATACTAAAATCATTTTTTTTGGAAATTTTCAAAGTAAAAATAAATTGTTTCTTTTATCGAGATCTACCAGCACTGAAAGTATTTGCACTTAATTAAGAGTCACGCTGTATAGTGCGAGGGACGTGGACGAAATATAGATATACAAGGATGATTACACTGGATGATTTTACTCTTGTGACTCACAAAAAGTCTAATTTCTATTCGATTTTTTTAATTAATTAGTTTTTAAAATACTTTCTTCCGTATAAATATCAAATTTGTATGCCATCTGTACTGAAGTACAAACTAATTTTAATAAATTGCTGGAAACAACGACAGACTTTGAAATGCAAGCAACTTTCTGGTAAAATTGCAATTTGCCAATTTATTTCCTAATAAGTTGAGAAATAGTTTGTTATGCGCCAGAACTACTGCTAAGCTTCTTGTACACAAATTATGACCTAAGTTTAATATACTAAAAGTTTTAGTATTATAGTAAACGCGATAAAAACGTTTTCATCATAATTTCAGAGAAATAAGTTGTATTTTGATCTTTATAATTACGTTATTACGTAGTAGGAATTAAGGTTGATTCTCACTATACCTTCCATATCAGCTCCTTTCCGTTTCCCTTCCGTTTACGTAAAATATTATATCATGTAAATGAATAGGACTATGCACATTCTCCGTTCCGTTTCCCTTCCGTTCCATACTTTTTTGGCGGACGGACTGAAGCGTATCGGAAACAGCATTGTTAAGTTCTTTCATTTGTACCAGCTCTGTGAACATTTTGCTGATATTTATTTATTCTTTCACCTCTTTATTATCTATTACCTTTTTCAAAAAATACAAATTTTTAAAATAAAATTTTCGTAATGATATAAATTCTACATTAAAAAGTATGGAACTGATACAGAACGGAAGCTTACGTATAACGTCAATACCATAAAAAAAATACGGAACGGATATGGAATGGAAATGGAAGTGGAAAGAATGGAAATCAACCTTTAGGTGGCCCTAAAGGTAAGGCTAGGTGGTAGTAAGGTCCATTTGAGAATATTACTCGCGCGAGAAACTCTCGATAGTAGTTCTCGCATGTCGATACACATCTGTGACTACCTATCGAAGAATATTCATTTTACTATCAATAGTTTACTTGCAACGATTTGCCCTCAAGTGTATACATATTATTTTTAATAGCGGATAGTTACTTCTGAAATACGATTACGTTTCGTATTGTGATAGTTCTAGCAGAGAATTATTAATTTAAAATGGCAGCTACTCGCAAAGAGTGGTCAAAACACGATACTTTAATAAGTATATACGAGGAAAATACAGTTTTATGGGATACCATGGGATTCACTATCTGCACTTCTATGTTACTTTCACACTACACATAAACAAATTAAATGAAAAATTACAAAAATACAAACTGAATCAACACATACTAGAACCACAGATTATACAGATTATAATCTTTGTTTTTTCTTTATTGTTTTTCGTGGTTCCAATTTTCGGAATCGGGCACTAGTTAGGTGACTAGTTTGCGCACATAGCACGCCCACTTATGGCCTCTAAAATTGTGCACAGTGCCTGACCGGCACAGTTATTAGAGAGATATCGGAAAACCGAATAGCGTCATCCAGTATTTATAAGTACCTTATCATGGTTACGATATGCGCGAGTCAACGCAACACCCGCTAATAACGTTACCGCCTGACGTAATTTGCGGATCAATTACACCAAGCGCTGTTTCTAAATAACCTCTGATAACGTTTAAAAATTGCTTAAATGGGCATGTGCGGGTATTTGACAACCGGAGCCGGCCGGCGAGATCTTTTATTTTAGGTTATGTTTGAATTGTTTTGAATTACTGCTTTAGTTTTATTAGGTAATTTGATATTTAAGTAGCTGGGATTAGTTTTAATTAAATAAATATGGCCCAAAATATGGATTCCACCTTTTCCAATACTAAAGAACCTATAAAGAGTCTTATGTTTACAGCAGATGACGACTTAGCCCTTCTAAGAGAATTTGTTGCTTGTTGCCCTAAACCCATTGGTAGACGTTGAACAATAAAGCACTGGAAATAAGCACTTTAGCCCTTTAGTTTTAAAATACCTAGTAAACAAAACAATTTCAAAGTTTTAAATTCAAAATTAGGTTAAGTTTAAATAGCGGACGCGACGCGAACAGAATTCTTTCCGATCTGATAACTATAAATGAAAAGAGTTAATACCATCTCACGTAAAGGAAATAACACCTGGCCTTATTAACGTCCATGCACGCTATTCGGTTTAGCGATATCTCTCTATTACGCTGTTTATTGTTATTTTACGCCAGTTTATTTTTGCGCACAGGAAATTTGACTCGTTTGCACATCGTCAT